GCTGGCGGCGCCGAGCCGGGGCGCGGACGAGCCCGTGTGGCGGTCGGAGCAAGCCATCGGAGCCATCGCGGCGAGCCGGGCGGACGGCGTGTTCGTGGCGAGCGGCAGCTGCCTGGACCAGCTGGACTACAGCCTGGAGCACAGGCTCTCGCGCCTGTACCGGGACCAGGCGGGCAACTGCACGGAGCCCGTCTCGCTGGCGCCCCCCGCGCGGCCCCGGCCGGGGAGTAGCTTCAGCAAGCTGCTGCTGCCCTACAGCGAGGGGGCGGCCGACCTCCAGGGGCTGCTGCTCACCGGCTGGACCTTCGACCGAGGCGCCTGCGAGGTGCGGCTCCTGGGCAACCTGAGCCACAGCTCCCTGCGCAACGGCACCGAGGTGGTGTCCTGTCACCCGCAGGGCTCGACGGCCGGCGTTGTGTACCGCGCGGGGGACCAGAACCGCTGGTACCTGGCAGTGGCCGCCACCTACGTGCTGCCGGAGCCCGAGACCGCGAGCCGCTGCAATCCGGCGGCGTCCGACCGCGACACCGCCATCGCCCTCAAGGACACGGAGGGACGCAGCCTGGCCACGGAGGAGCTGGGCCGCCTCAAGCTGCGCGGGGGCGCGGGCAGCCTGCACTTCGTGGACGCCTTTCTCTGGAACGGCAGCGTCTACTTCCCCTACTATCCCTACAACTATACGAGCGGCGCCGCCACCGGCTGGCCCAGCATGGTGCGCATCGCGCAGAGCGCCAAGGTGCTGCAGTTCCAGGGCCAGGCGGCCCTCGACTGCGGCCACGGCCACCCCGACGGCCGGCGCCTGCTCCTCTCCTCCAGCCTGGTGGAGGCCCTGGGCGTCTGGGCGGGTGTGTTCAGCGCGGCCACCGGCGAGGGCCAGGAGAAGCGCTCCCCCGCCACCACGGCACTCTGCCTCTTCAGGATGAGTGAGATCCAGGAGCGCGCCAAGAGCTGCTCCTGGGACTTCCAGACGGCCGAGCAAAACTGCGTAAGTCCTGCCGCCGGGACGCCGAGGGGAGTGCTCCCGGTGGGGAGCCGCCGCCAAGGGCGAGCGGGAGGGAGACCAGGTTGCCCTTTACCAGGTCTGGGATTCACACGGCCGGCTGGCGGCCAGCGAGCCGTTTTCACGGGGTCTCGGAGACCTTCGGCTGCTCTAGAGCACAGCCAGAGGTCCCCAGAGGGAGCGTAAACGGCGAGGTGGAGAAGGTAGGAGTTTGGCTTAAAACTCTAGTGACTGTATCCCAGTGTCATCCTTCTCTGTCCAAACGACGCTTGTTTGGGGCTGAGCCGCCGCAGGCAGCCTACGCTCCCTTCCCTAATCGCCTCCCCAGGTGTACGGGTGTTAGCAGGCGTGTGGCTTGACCCTTCTCAACTCGGTTGCCAAACACAGCGCCCTGGGCAGAGAAGTCGGTGAACCCAAAAGGCATGCTGCCACACCCCAGCCGTTGCGCACCCCCCTCCCCGCAACACATGTGATGTGGTCTGAAGAGTTGGTAGCCTGCTCAACCTGGGTCAGTGCTGGCCTGGAAAAGCGGCCCACGCTGGGTGGAACGGAACCGTCAGCCTGACCTAGTGCCAGGGCGGGCGGGAGGCTGTGGCTCTGCCGTGGGGGCACTGTGGTCTCTGGGGGGAGAGGCAGGGGAGGTTGAGGTGGCTTTGTGGATGAAAGCTTCAGCCGGGAGGGAAGCAAGGAAAGATGTTGGGGTGCTACAGGCAGCTTCTGGGCTCCACGTTGCCGGTGGAGACTGTGGGGCGCAGAAGCACCACCCTTGTGTTGTGTCCAACCAGTAAGAGCACAGGTTTCCCCTGGGTTCTCAGGGCAGCCCCAGCTTGACTCTGGAGATTGGCAGCTCTTTGACTGGAAAATAAAGCCGCGGTTCAAGAGGGTCCAGTTGATGGGGATTATGGAGCCATTGTGCACTTCTCAGAGGCTGGTTTCCTTCCAAGGCTGCTGGCACATCGACTCCACATATGGCTCCTGAGAGGGGAGCCTGCTGAGAGCCTCCTTTATAACTGGACAGAAATCAAAGAGCAGAAATTAACGGCTACAGGTGTTGCCATTGTTTTGGTATAAAATGCGTCAGAGAGGAAGGGGAGAAGTCTCCACTTGGAAAATGTGTTGTATTGATACATTGTTGCATAAGCACACAGGAGAGCCCTGGCTCTAAGGTATGTTACTATATGTAGGGAAAGACACTCTCACCCCCACCACCCCCCCACCCCTGTCTCTGAAAAGCACATCTCACCAAATATTAAGTCCTATTATTCAGGGAGAAAAAAAACTGAGGTCTTTTGCAAGGCTCCTTAGATGGTCATTTGCTTTTCTCCCTCCTTGCCTGTCGGTTGTGTGCTGGGACACACACATAATGCCTTTCTTTAGTTACTGGTATAATTTTTTTAAGCATAGATAACAAATGATGCTCCCTGAATGCCTTCATCTTGCCATACACATATATTCAACATCTATTTTCATGAGAGCTTTATAATCTGAGAGCTCCAGTTTGGCAGAAACCATTTCCTTCTACTCCTCTGTTGAAAGACTTGAACATACCCGCCCCTCCGCCCCCCAGACGTTACTTAGTGCCAAGCTTCAGGCATACTTGGTCTCTGGGGTTAATGACAAGACAGCTCAGAGGCCCACAGCAGGTAATAACAGTGGAAGTCCGAGCTTTGCCATCTGACAGCTGTGTAGATGTGTGGAGCCAAAACATTTCTCTTGACTGCCTCTCTCTACCCGTTGGGTCCTGGAGGACTTAGTTCCCTTCCAAACCCAGCAGACATCCTGAGTGCACTCGCTCACAATCCACATTTTGGGGTGGTCAGGTCTTCCTAGTTGCTCTGGGATGAGGAGGGAAGGGGGTGGGTCAGAGCGCTGTTTACCCATCTTCGTGGGAGCTTCCGGGAGAGAGGTTCCCTTGGAAATCAAGCCAGGGGTAAAAACCTGCAGCCAAAAATCTGGGGTTGGAAAAATAAATAATTAAAAGAGGTCCCTCCGCAGCATTTCTTGCTGCTGCTTATCAAGAACTCCCAGTGTGCTCAGAGCAGGGTGTTCTGAAAGACAGGGTCCCTACCTCCTGAGCTTGTCATCCAAGTTAAATAATATACTCTGCTTCAAACAATAGCATGTCATGGCTGCACAGGTGGGAGCTTGGAGTTTTGCATTTATTTTTTCATTTCAGTAAATTCCTTGCTGCTAGTATGCATTACAAAAGCCTTAATGGAAGTGAATTTCAAGAGGGGTTTGAATGGGGGGGGGGGGAAGGAAGGTAGTTTTGATGAAAAAGCTGACAATTTTTCTAACCTATCAAATAGGCAGATAAGATACTCAGTTCAACAAATATTTGTTTGACGCCTGCCAGTGTAAGCAATGCTCTGTGCTGGGCGCTCCTGATTTTGCCACTGAAAGGACAATGGCAGGTTGCAGCCCCATTTAATGGGGTCATAGGATCAGAGTGCCCCTGGTTGTCACTCAGAACAATGATGTTATTTGCTTGCCTTGGCTGTGCATTTCATTTTCAGGTTTTGAATGTATTTTGGAAAAGGCATGCTGAATTATAGGTGCCTAAAACAAGAGACTGACTTGAAACACTCTAGAGGGAGCCTCAATAGATTCCAACAGCAATTCTGCAGAGCAGACACAGTAATTTTAACAGTAATCCACAGGCAGTGAGGCCTGAGTGGCTGGATTTGCTGCCTTCTCCTCTACTACTAGATGGCTCTCTCTTATTTTCCATCTTCAATCAACCACGGGGAGCAGAGTGACAGGAGCGACTGGGTTGTGTTTTCTCCTCTTAAGTCAGTTGCTTCTCCTGCTAAGGATGAATTTACGAGGTGCTTGTGCAATGAGTGAGGAACGTTCCCATTTACCTGATGAGGAAGCCCAAGATCAGTTGGGTCACTTGCTCAAGGTAACAAAACAAGCGTCTGAGCCTCCCAGCTCAAACTCGAGTCTTGAAATGTCTACTTCTGTATTCTTTCCACCACTCGAGTGCTTTTCAAACTTTCCCTTGAAAGTCCTAATTACAAAGGAAGCAACCAGCCTCCCCTACCATGGGGGGGGGGTTGAGGCTGGAGGCTGCCCTTTGAAGTGTTCTAAAACTTTATGTGATTTTTTTTTTTCATTCTGTTCCATAACCTCTCTGTGTGCTTGGGTTAACATATTTAAAAACATAGTAAATGCTTTAAATTCTGTACAAATGAATTAACTTCCTCCCCCTCTGAACTCCTGCTGTCCCTGGCACACCAATGTACTCCTAGAAAAGTGTACCCAAGTTTTCAAGTCTGCTTGTTCTACAGGTACTTGGCTGCCATATTTGGGTCCTGGAGTTGCTTGTGGTCTAAACATGGTCGGCCACTCCTCGTATGGACACCGAGGGTAGTGTGGTTTTTGTTTTGTTTTTCATACTGTCGGCTAATAGGACTGACTTTTGTAGTTCATTCTACCCCTTGTGGGGAGACACACCCCTTCCTCCAGACGTAATTCCAAAGCCTGATATAATTTAGCTGTCACACAGACAACCACAAAACACTCGCATGCTCTCCAGCAGATGGTAACACGAGATACTTCTAGCCATCACGTGCAGAAGAGATGTCCCACGACCACTCAGCAATGCAACCTGGTGCGTTGCCTCTTGACCTCAAAATCCACAGTCTTCCTGTGATGTTTATTCCTCCCTGTAGTTTCTGTGACGATCCTGTCTAGCCATGTTGCAATTTGTAGACGAGATGGTGAATTTTACCCCTGTACACGCATCTGAAATGCAGGGGTAGATTTAAATAAACCCAACACCCGGTTGGGGGGGGGGGGATGGGAAGCAATCATAGCTACTATCTCCTGGGTAGTTACGATGGCCAGGCTTTGTGCTAAGCGCTTTACATGCCTTGTTTTCAGTTGATTTTCACAGTCTCCCAATGGGGCAAGAGCTGTAGTTATTATTATGATTTTATAGGTGAGAAAATTGAAGCCTGGAGAGTTTTGGTTCAGTTCCACAGCTGCTAAATGGCTGAAGATTTAGGACCTGGGTGGTCTGGCTTGTGGACCTGAGCTTGTAAATCACTGCCATGGGTAGTCCAGCACCGCGGATGTTGGGTCGTGTAGTCAATCCTAACACGCATGGAGCAAGCCAGGCCCTTGCAACTGCTCTGATAAGATCAGCTGTTTGTGGACATAAGACACGATAGGACAGAGGACCCTTGACTGTGAACTGAGTTTCTGGATTTTCAGACTGAATGACCAAAAGTTCAGACCCCGGGGGGGTATTAGCTCCTTAGCTGTCATTCTTTATATTCTAGACCGCTTTGGCATTCTTTATATTCAGACTCACAAACGACGTCCGAGAAACCAACAAGGCCTCCGGGGGCTGCTCCCGGACACGACGTAGCTCATGTCCTGAATCCCGAGATCTCAGCCTGTTAAGTCTGGGTTACAGGCACTCTGGTCTTTATTAGCAGCCACGGTTAAAATGTAAGCCCCAGAAGGTCAGGAACGTGTAACCGTTTGTTCTCTGTTGAACCCGGAGTACCTAGCATATGGTACCTGACATGTCATTGGGGCTTGAGAAATATTTGTGGAATTAATAAATGCAGGGTCTCGGAGCATCATGTTGGAAATGTTTTCTGTGCTTAGCAGCAACATTTTCTTCAGTCTGGCCACTTCATACTCCCTTAACTATTGGCTTTGTCTTTTCTTTTTTAAATTTTTTAATGTTCATTTTTGAGAGAGAAAGAGAGTGAGCGAGCACGAGAGAGGGAGACCCAGAATCCGAAGCAGGCTCCAGGCGCTGAGCTGTCAGCACAGAGCCAGACGGGGGGCTCAAACCCATGAACCATGAGATCATGACCTGAGCTGAAGTTGGACACTTACCCGACTAAGTCACCCAGGCACTCCAGCCATTGGCTTTTTCTTAATGTGTGCATCAGGGCCCCTCTCTTTCCTAGTCCTAAGCTATCAGAGATCCTTCACCCCTCCAGCTCTTCCCAGAAAACCCC